CATCAGCAAACAAAACCACTTTCACTAAATCAGAAACCTTGCATATATCATTAATATATAATATAAATAATTTAGGTCCCAAAACAGAACCCTGAGGCACTCCACATACAATGTCCAGCTCACTCGACTGGTATTCACCCAACTTCACAAATTGGCGCCTCTGTGTCAATATATATGCACAGCTCAAACCGTGACAAAGGAATGCTCATTGACATGTGATAAATAGGAATAAAAATAGAGTACTTATAAAAAGAGACCTGTATGGATTTATATAATCTGTACAATGTATATTTACAAGTATTGCACTGAGGGTTATTGTCCAGTCATACTGTTGTGAGTCAAGTGTTAATCAGAGTGACAGACCAGGTGAAGAAGCTATCCCTCTCACATTGTTGTGCAGCAAAAGATCATCAGCATTGGCATCAACTTGTCTGAGGAATTCCCTAAGCATGCGATGTTGGTAGGATGAGGATGACCCGAGAAAATGTATCATTTTCATCATTGTATTCATCACCTCAGCATGCTCATCTGACAGGGAGGCTCGGAGGACAGATTGATGAATGATGCAATGGTAAGCTATGAGCTCAGGATTGTCCTCTTTCAGTCTTGCTACAGCTCCTTTCTCTCTCCCTACCATAGCAGGGGCTCCATCTGTGGTTATTGAAACCAGTTTTTTTGGCTCTATTCCTCTCTTTGTTAACATCTCCTTAATGGCCAGGTAGATGTCTTCTCCTCTTGTACTGGTCTGAAGGGGAGTGACACCTAACAGGTCTTCACAGAATGCTTTCTGGTCTGTGTTGAAAAACCTGACATACACTAACAGCTGAGCATTGTCACATGTCAGTGGACTCATCCACAGCTAAGCCTACACATGGTACCTCATGCAGGGCTTCATCTAGCTGGGTTAGCACGTCCTGAGTCAATATTTCACTTTTCTTTGTGGCAGATGATGCTGACATGGATATTTGCTTTATTTTATCACAAAACTCTCATTTTTGTTTTCCCTCAAGTAGTGTTTCAGCTACTGTACTCATGCATTCTTTGACACCCCTCCATCAGTAAATGGCTTTTTGTGTTGACCCAAAATCCAAGCAACTCTGAGGGAACACTCATGAGCACATTGTTGGGCAGTGAAAGTATGGCTTAGGATCCTGGTGGACTGGTCATATTGGGCTCTGAGACTACTTATTTTCTGTGATCTCACTTCAGATTTGAGTGGGTATGTTTGTTCTTTTGTCTCATAATGGTGTTTCACATTGGCACTTTTAATAAGTGCCACAGTTTCTGAACATATGAGACACACTGTTTTAGTGCTACCAGTGGTAAGTATGAAGAGAAATGAGTTTGTCCATTCTGGATTAAATACTCTATTTTCAATGTCCACTTTTCTTTTTTTGGAGAGCGCTATTTGTTACTCATTTTTCTCTTCCATTCTCCATCTCACCCGTCTTTTAACTTTCTCCGCAAAGTCATCTGCATCTCCATTTCTCCGGCTACATGTATCGCTGTCTTCTTCTTTTTACCGTCTTTTCATGTGTAATTTGCCTCTAACTCTCACATCTCTCTGCGTTATAGAGTCGCAGTGTTTACTGCCTGGAATGCACAGACTTGATTGGCTGAGTGGTATCACATGGGATGGCTTAACTCGCATGCAATTGGTCTGTGCATTTACTCATCCACAAAACCACAACTGTAAAGATAATAAAAGCTGTGCCAGTTAAAATAGAAGCGCCCCGTCAGGTTTTAAATCATAAACTTCTGTTTTGGCTGCAAGTCCGGGTCCATATGGGACAGCTCCTGGGTCCGGACCTGGACCTTGGCCCACCTGTTAGTGACCTCTGG